TATATATATATATATATATATATATATATATATGCACATAGTATGACATTTGTAGGAAGTCTAGAAAATTGTTATAATAGAATAATAGAAAAAAATTATGAAATTTTTTTAAGTAGATTTTTTTTAAGATGTAAAAAAAAAAATCATAATTATTCAAAATTTATAATTGTTGTATTCAAATTTATGTCTTGATAGCGGGAGCTAGAGGCCCTAATCATGAGCACACATAGGCTTACACTTCTAATTAAATTAGGAAACATTTAAATTTATTTAAAAAGGTTAATTAGTGGCCATCAAGCCATCAAGGGGCTCAAAATTTTTAAATTTTTTTAATATATTTCCTATCTTAATGTGTATGCTCTTATATCACTAAACGAGAATCATAACCAAGTATTCTTTGTTTTCTTTCAATGAGATGTTAAAACTCGACAACCTGATATGAATTTGACTCAAAAAATTTAAATTCGGGTTGATTCAATTCATTTTTAGGTCAAGTTCAGTTAAAAAATTTTGACAAATTTTTGGATCGGATTTAGATTAAATAGGCTGAGTTCAAGTTAAATGGGTTGTATTTTAGTTAATGGACCGTATTGATTTAAGAAATTACATGACTATTGATAAATGTGTCACATTCGGGTCAAATATTTTGACTTGTATGATATACATGTTGGGCTTTGGCAAAAAAATATTCTACTTGGGTCAATTACACGTCACATCCGAACCTGCCCCATAAATCTGAAATAACACCTCTAATAAAATATGAAATCTTTCTTCAAGCAACCAGACTTATCTAAATTATTTCAATGAGTCAAACATATCAAGGCAATCCATCTTTTAACAAGGCACTTCTTTCAATAAATTTATGTAACTTAATTTTCCTACAAGAAATATTTGCCCCCATTTTCTTACATAAAATTTTAATCATGCTTCAAATGATTAGACTAATTCAAATATGACTTGTCTTCTCCTGAATTACAAAATCTAACGATCTTCAATCATTAAATCAAATTAAACATCCTCTTTGGATTTTCTCGTCAAGCTGCTCTATCCGACAATAACTATGTTTAATTTGGAGATCATTTGGTCATCCATTTTAAAAGCTTTCAATTTCATTCCGGTCCATTGATTTTGGCTCATGTGGACTCGTATATAACCATTTTTTATTGACTTTTAATTCAACTATAAGTTTGTCAAAATTAGAGTTTGGATTAATTTTAATATAATTATGGAAGGTTCTAATTTAAATATGCTTTGAAATCCGTGTTAGATCAAGATGATTTTTTTATGACCTATAAATGTGAGTTCACCATCAATCTATTTTACATTAAGAAATATTACTAGATATTTTTCTTAAATTAGGGCTCCACCTACTCCCACTCTAGAAGCATCACAAGTGGCTCTTACACTTAAAAAATAAAAATAAAATAACTTTAAGAACAATAAAGTAGTTAGAAAACCTACTTCTTTATATGAGTGCATTTATGTATATATTGACAAAGAATTTATTTTAAACAATTGAAAATTCAAAATTATTAGTTTAGAGGGTATTTTTTTGTCTATAATCTAACTTGAATTTTATGTTAATGAATAATATTGTCTGGTTCAAATTTAGATGGATCAAATTAATTAATTATTGAATTTCGCTCAGCTAAATATTGAATCGAATGAATACGAGCACATACAACAACAACAACAACATCAAGCATTTATTCCACTATTTGGGGTCAGCTACATGAATCCTTTTTCTCCATTGTGTCCTATTAAAAGTCAAATTCTCGTTTAAATCTAATAAAGAAAGGTCATTCATAATATTTTATAACCAAGTCTTTTTAGGTCTACCCCTACCTTTCTTAACACAAGTCAAATCTAATGCCTCTACTTTCCTAACCGGGTCATCGGAAGGCCGCCTTTTTATATGACCAAACCATCTAAGGCGACTCTTTCTAATCTTATCTTCTACTGGAGCTACTCAAACCTTTTCACGTATATGCTCATTTCGTAATGAATACGAGCACATCTTAGATTAAAAAACCTACCTTTTTCCAAGTAGGTGCAAGCTTTAACTTTGCACCAAAGGGAAAGCAATTTCACTATTTTTCTTGTGTGTTCATCAAGGAGTGGAGCCATTTCCATCAAGGCCCTCCACCTTCAACAGTTACCTCCAAAGAAAAAAAAGGTGATTTATGTGGTATCAACCTGTGTAGGCACCAAGATCAAAGAAATCTATAGGCTAAGGTCTCGTTTGGGATGACTTTTTTATTGCTTCTTAAAATAATTTTCTAGTGTACTAGAAAACTATTTTAAGAATCAACAAGAAAGTAGCCCCAAACAAAGCCTAAGGGGTTGTTTAGAAACTTCAATTTATTTTTATTAATATTTTCACTTGAAATAAAATTAATATATTTGATATACTAAAAATATATTTGGGCCACTGATAGTGGTGGAGATAGCCGACGATGGTGGCCAGAGATGATGGTGGTGGACGACAACGATGATGAATGCGACAATGGTGATAATTATTATTAAAAACATATATAAAAGTATTTTGGAAAATTTTAAAAATAACTTAATTTGTTTTAAAAAATAAAAAATACATATTTAATGATCATATTTAAAATAATAAAAATAAAAAATAAAAGTAATGCCATTATAACTCCCCATCTATTGTTTCTTCAAAGTGTTGCATAGTTCTCTGATTTTTCTTTTTAATTTCTATCTATTGGATATTAACCACCACTTTGATTCAGTCTTGAATTTGTGCTCCAATACACTTATTTCCTTTTTCCATGGTGGCCATTAATTGCTTGGGAAAATACTACCCACTCTCTAATTAGGATATTCTTATGATTTGGCTCCATTCCACTACCCCCACTTGGTGGAATATGCTTCCAAATTTAATTAGTTCAATATAAATTTTAATTAATTAATTATTTGCATTAAAATTTTGATCAAAAGATTTTGATTTATTATTATTTTTTTCTTTTCTAATGATCATGCTAATTGTTGGCCTCATTTTCGTCCTCTATCCTCCTCGGGCTCATTCTTGCGCTCTGTAGGTAGTCCTTTGTTGATTATGCTCGTCGATGGCCTTGAGGGCATTAATCAAGCCTGATTTGCCTATTTATTCGTTTGGCTTTGGGTGGCTATAATTTGAGTCACTTGGAGTTGCCGTTATGCTCGAAATTGATTTTGTGCCGTATTTGCCACCATGTTTTTGGGATGCGTGTGAAGAGCACGAAGGCGCTACATCGAGGTTTCCATGAAGTCTCATTCATATAAGATTTTCACCTACATGAAAATTTTTCATCAAAGCATCGTCTCGCAAGACGTACTATAAAATCACATACGGATCATCGAGACCATTCACTAATGTGGATGACTCATTCCTCCATTAGTAAAGCTAAAAAATAGTTTTTTAATGAACAAAGAAGTTTCTTGAAAAGGTTGGTTTTTGTTATTATATACTTGGACATTCAACTCGAGTGGAGCATTAGCTGCTTAATTATAGTTTACTCTAGTAAAGTAAAGTGTCATCACTTGGGTTTGCTACATTAAATAGGATGGTGCACTATAAAAGTGCATATTTATTTATATTGCATTATTTTTGTGGTGTATAGACTATAGAATGCTATAATTATAATTCATGAAATGTTTTAAGTGCTTACAATTAGTACTTTAAGGTAAAAATAAATAATTTTTTTGGTATGGAGAGGAGAAAGAGTAAAGATGCTTACATAACATATTGTGGCCTCTTTGAAGGCTTTACATTTTTGCACAAATTGTTTCAGGAGTCTAATTGTTAATTATTTTCTTTAAAATAGAACTAGCGATTGAGAAAATCTCATGGATTTGATCATTTTATGACATGGCGGTGTAGTAGTCATCAGTGGTAGCAGTAGTAGCAGTTGTGTCAAAACGAGTTAACAAATAAGGTTATACTCACATGTAATCAACCCGAATCCGCGCCGTTTAAAAAAAAAAATGCAATTGGTCTTTTTTAGTTTAAAATGGGATTCCCAATCAAACTGAATATGATCCGTTTAATAAACAGGTAGAATTCCAGACCCAAGTTCGATCCGTTTATTAAACGAGTCAAACCAAACATGAATATTTTGGGTCCAATATGGATCAGGTTGGCAGATTGGATCATTTATTGGCACCTCTATAGTGGCAATGACCATCGGCGTGATAAGCAGAATTGACTTGGTGGGAGCAATGGTGTGGTGATCCTCCATTAGTAGAAATGATGGCTATGGTTGGTAACTAGCTAATCGTTTGGTTTTAATTAAAAAAAAAGTACCTAAAAACACTAAAATTTTGCTTTAAGCATTTTACAAAAAAACTAAATAGTTAGCAGATAAACATTAAACATATTTTAAAAAATAAAAAGGTTGAAAATTCTTAGCATTCAATTTTTGAGTTTAGATTTTGATTTAATCATTGGATATATCTCCAATTAATTAGGTGTGAAAATGTGTGAAGGGGCTGATCAATATATATTAGTATG